CACGACGGCGTGCGTGGCTAAGGTTAAGGTGGGGGGGAGGAGCCAAGCAGGGAGCCACGACGGGGCTAAGTTATTCCGTCTTTTGTTGTGTTGAGGGTTCGGGGGAAGCGGTGGTTCACTGCACGGGGGCAATGAAAAAATGGTTTAAAAAAAGGTTGTGTGCTTATAAGGTAGCTGAAGTTTTGACTTGGTTTATGACATCTTTCCAGTGGTTGCTTAATTTAAAACCATCCTCTCGGTTGAAGTTGTGTCTATGTTTGTATATCCGGATGGCTTCATGGACAAATCTTTGGTAATAACCGGGAGGTTTGCAGGGCACTTTGGTATCGGAGAAAACAATGTCATGAGAACCCGCTGTGTTGAGACAATGATCAGCCACGGCAGAAGAATTCGTTCTGCCGTGTTTCAAATCTGATTTGTGCTCGCGAATTCGGTCAGAAATATGTCGTTTCGTCTCCCCGATATAGCAGTCACCGCAGATACAACTCAATTTGTAAACACCGGGGTACTGTAAGTCAGGAATGACATCCTTTACGGATGGGATCAGATCACGGATTTTGTGTACTGTATTGAACCGAACCTGGATCTTGTGTTTGTTTAGAATTGTGGAAATCTTTTTGGTGACGCCTGCTATGTATGGCAGTGTGATGATGTTGATCGGAGTGTCAAGTGGTTGTTTCTGTATGGTAGGAGAAAGAGTTTGGCGGATGATACGGTCAGAGTAACCGTTCATCTTGAGGGCTAGATGTACATGTTTTAATTCACTGGTCAGGTGGTGTTGGTCAGAAATGCAATGAGCTCTATGGTATAATGTTTTGATGAGAGAGTTCTTTTGAGCCGGGTGGTGGTGGGAATCAGGCTTCAAGTACGAATCTGTGTGGGTAGACTTCTTGTAAACAGAATGTCCCAAAGAGCCATCAGTTCTCTCAAACAGAACATCCAAGAATGGCAGCTTGCCATCTTTCTCCACTTCCATGGTGAATTTGATGGATGGACGTCTGGAATTGATGTGGTCTAGGAAATGGTTCAAAGCTGGGAGGCCATGTGGCCAAATAACGAAAGTGTCATCCACATATCTCTTCCACAGGGAAGGACGAAGGGTGGGTGTCTGGATGGCGTCTGATTCAAATTTCTCCATGAAAACATTGGCTATCACATTGGCTATCACTGGTGACAAGGGGGAACCCATAGGGGTACCCTCATTTTGTTAGTAGAAGGTGCCATTCCAGGTAAAGTAAGTGTTGGTGAGGCAGTGCCTAACCAGCGCAGGTACAGCAGGGTTCAGTCCATGTTGGACCAAATCTTCAATTATTGTTATGGTATCAGGTACTGGGATCTTGGTGAACAGAGAAACAACGTCAAAGCTGACAAGGATATCGTCAGGAGATAGTACAATGTCTTTGACCATAGAAACCAATTGGGTTGAGTTAAGTACTGCTGAGGTGGTCTTGCCAGTGAAGAGGAGCAGAGTATCCGACAGAAAACGGGCTAGCTTGTAGGTAGGGGAGTTGATCGTGGACACGATGGGTCGTAGTGGGGTACCTTCTTTATGGATCTTGGGAAGACCATAGAATCTGGGAGGTCTTGCAGCGGAGAGTTTTAGGGAGGGACGTTTAGTTAGTTCGATTAGGGAAGTCGAACTAGTGATAATCTTGTTGGTTTTAATCGTTAGGCTTTTAGTAGGTTAGTTAACTGCTCCCAATGAAGACTGGTTCTAACGAGGAATGGTCTCGATGGATACTGATCTGGATTAATTAGAATATTTATTTAAACTGGAGGAGAATTCCGATGAGATCTGAAGCTCGTTTTTACATATGTCCAGTAAGGGCACAGGGTCAGAAAGTTACAACAACAAACTGCAAAATAACGATAGGAGTGCAAAGTAGATCCAAAGTAAGCAAGTCACTAAGATCTAATAAAATAAAGACTTTCTTCTGTATGTATATATGTATGTCTCAAAATTATGTAGGGTATTTTCAGACACGGTAGGAAGCTGACATTTTAAACAAATGAACCTTATGGCGGGACCCCGGGGTCCCATAAGCCCCCGGCTCTCGCATAAACATTATAAACATTACATATAATATAATGTAAACATTATAATACATAATATATAATGTAAACATTACATTATAATGTAAACAAAATCTTTGCTCTTTTTCACCAATGGGTTTGAAGGATGGTGGCAAGTGTTGTCTTAATAATAATAGGGGTTTTCCCCTTTTTTCTGGCAACAAAACTGAAACCTTTTTACAAGGATTCATGTCTGCATTAACCACAATACCTGCAGTCAAAATGCAAACAAAAAACATACTATGATAATATATGCACTGTCCTTGGCGTTATCTGGTCGAGCACCAACTGGGTCGAGGCTCAAAAGAAAGCCGTCCCTTGGTGTGGACCAATCAGTTTCAAGGACAATGCATATATTATCATAGTATGTTTTTTGTTTGCATTTTGACTGCAGGTATTGTGGTTAATGCAGACATGAATCCTTGTAAAAAGGTTACAGTTTTTGTTGCCAGAAAAAATGGGAAAAACGCTATTATTACATTTTGGTACTGGCAAAGGAGGTCTAATGATGTAAGTGTTGTCTTGTTAAACTATGCCTTTAAAACGTAAAACTACTTACCTGCAGTACCTCTATTTAAATACACTATCGAAAAAATAATTTACACAATAATTTACACCCCTCTGTCAATCATCGTGTTTCTCAGTGTGGATTTGTGAACACACTTTGCAAACAGCACATAAAATAGGACGCGTTTTCAATGCGCTGTTCATATTGGACTATGGCTTAACCGCAAAAAAACACCTATCTGCACAGATGCATACGGACAAGAGAAGTATTATCAAACAGGAGGAATTAACGGTGCAACGCATCTCGTCTGTTAAATATCTGCAGGTAATAGGATTGTCATCGATTGATCCTGGCTACAGACATTGGTAGGTCACAAATAATAATGAAGATAAGAGAGCAGTTTCACTGTATTATGCATACCGTTATGACAAATAAGGACTTAAGTCCTTATAAGATAAGACTTGTTATGACCCTGCCCATACCCGAGCATGCAGCGCATTCGCTTGTTCAGCTCTTGTGCGCATTCATTCTCACTGCTGCGCTTGGACACGACAACAGAACGATCCGCGCCAGGAGGGTCGCGGCGTTTACGTGCGTGGTGGGACGGAGTCGCTAAAAATAATTACGTTTTGATTTAAAGCTTTCGTGACTGCAGTAATTCATATTCTTAGTTTTTTCGGTAAAGTCACGTTGAAGGGAAACAACAAAATAATTAAATATATATAAAACAATAAAAAATTCTCACGACGTTTCGACCATAACTCGACCATAACTCAAACGGTCGTCAATCGGACCGTTTGAGTTATGGTCGAAACGTCGTGAGAATTTTTTATTGTTTTATATATATTTAATTATTTTGTTGTTTCCCTTCAACGTGACTTTACCGAAAAAACTAAGAATAATAAATAAGTTCTTTACGATTTTGACTTCCGCTTATTGGGAACCCCGGGGTCCCGCCATGAGGTTCAAATGTAGCTTTTGGGACACAAACATCCGGGACAATCCGAAAATCCGAAATTTTTCATTTTAAGGCCCCCCAACTCTCGATTTTTCGTGCCCCATAAACAGGTGTGTGCGTATCATTCAGAAACCGTTCAAAATGTAAGATTGCGTTTTTTTCCGTTTGATAGAGCGTTCGACGGCAAATGCAATTAAAGCGAGAACCATTGTTCTTGAGGTATTTCGCGTTAAATCGGTTTTCAACGAAAAAATACGCCTTTTATGATGTTCAAATCTGAACAATTGTAAAAAGGTAAAAGATAGAAGCTTCCCCTCATAGAGTATTAAGTTAATATATTTTACGCTCTTTGGTTTTTTCGGTAAAGTCACGTAGGTAAAAAAAAATCACTCAAATAAATGCAAACAACTAAATTAAATCACGACGTTTCGGGTGCAACACAAGCGTCCGTCATCGTGTTAGAGCGATCTCTTTGACATATCTCAGCAACTACCTTCGCTGTGTTGCCATCGCTGTGTTGCTGAGACATATCTCAGCAACTGTCTTCGCTGTGTTTGTCCCCACCTGATGACGGAAGCTTGTGTTGCGCCCAAAACGTCGTGATTTAATTTAGTTGTTTTCATTTATTTTATAGATTTTTTTACCTACGTCACTTTACCTAAAAAAACAAAGAGTATGAATCCTTGCAGTCACGAAAGCTTCAAATCTAGAATTAATAGATTTCAGTTCTTTCTAATAATAGAACAAATTTTAAATTGACCGTTTTCCGATGGGTACGTCTTTAAATATGAGAAGTTGAATCAAGTCGTCAACAATTTTTTGGGTGGAAAAACACCAATGTTTGGATTAGTTGTTAGTGTCTGATCGTAGATAAAAATTGTAAAAAGATAATCAGGTTAAGAAGACAAGCTTCATGAACCAGTATATATAAAGTATATCAGTACAAATTGCATAAGTACATACATTAATGCATGTTTTTCAACACTAAATGCAAGCTTGGGCAAGGCAGCAAAACAACAGCAACAACAACAGTCCCAGACCACACCAAGACAACAACACACAGTAGTCCCTCACTAAAGTTGCACATTAACATTGAACTATTGATACGACGTGGGTAAATACTGGCCCTGACCTCGGTTTGCTTCGTCGCTGTACTTTTATCACAATGCAATTTCATACAGCCTCATTCACACAGTTGTATCACAAAAAAACGCAATGTATCGGGCAGCCTATACACATTAGAATGGGCCATAAGACCTTAAACCCAACGACCCCGTGAACATGATTAGGGTTGGGGAATGAATGCACTTGACACTTGATTTATAATTGGCGATGTCAGTCTGATGATGTAGCCAGCTCGTTACGACGGGCCTCGTCACCGTCTCGTTCTGTCTGCAGGTCGCCCACCACCACCTCCTCCAGCTCCTCCTGCTCCTCATTATCCCCATCAGCGTCTCCACTATGACTGAGGCTACGCTGGGCCACCCGTTTGCCGTGGTGCAGAGAATCTACTACCCGTGCGTGTGCGCAATCGGCATTCCCGGTGAGGATTGTGCTGCTTCTTCACCGTCCTAGAATCTCAGCCAGATCTGCAGGAATGCTGCTGCTCCTGCTGCTGTCACCATCCTAGAATCTCAGCCAGATCCGCAGGAACGCTGCTGCAGCTGTTATTACCATCCTCAAATATCAGGAATAATGCTACTGCTGAGCTGTACAGAGTGGAACAACGCGGCGGACGTCCAGAATAATAAACACCTCATTCGAGACCCAAACATCGTCGCACCTCCACACCTCCTCCTGGCTTTGAAATTCACTGGTGGAACCATCAGCCGCATCACAACATTGACAGGCCGATGCACAGGTGTCCTTCATTAATGGGAAATTAAAGGCACAGTCGCAGTGGTGCGATCGTGGCCATGCAACTCACACTATTAGACCATATAGTAAACCCCTATAGACCCACAAGGATACATAGACTTATAAGGATACGTAGAGACGCCCATCGTGGGTGTGATTTTTATTCCTCATTAGGAGAGGTTTAAGAATTTGTATTTATCTGTAGGTTTTCACGACTAACATCTAGATTCATAATTCGTTTCCTATTGGGTTACATTGTCGTGTAGGTATTATGCCAATTTATAACTACAGTCCGTTCTCTTGTAACGCTGCGTGTAGTTTTTAGAACACGAATTAGATATAAAGCGATTAATTTATTAGGGAGCACATTTTTTTTATAACGCGGATGCGAATTGGATATGATGTGATAGAGGGAACGGAACTACGTCGCGCGAGTAGGAATAAGGGGCGGACGGCGTAGCATCACACAAGGCATTGGGATACTGCTGGATGCTTCTAGATGACATCCACCTGCCTCAGATTTCGTTCAGCCTGCGTACGCATCTCACGTGTTATCGTGGACTGTGCTTTAGTTTCCCTATATTATAGATTAATTACTATAAAGCGATTTTTCTAAACGTGGTGTTCTTCAAGAAAGCAACTACTACTGCCTTGTTATAGGAAAACACGACTCCGGTTTTGCTTTTGAACCAAACCAATATTTTGAATCGTGCGTTTAGAGTATTTGGCGGCTATAAATTTCCACGTGATGATGAGAAGCCACTTCGTTGAGCTATCATTTGTGGCCAGGTCGCTTATGAAAAAAGAGCTACATAGCTCAGTGGGCCTTACCTGGTGAAATAAAATAAAAATGGTTTAGTATAGAAAATACAGTAGACTCTTGATTATCCGCATGCGGTTTATCCGATTTGTGGATTATCCTGGCACCTGAGATTTTTGGCATGAAGCAATAACCGGATTTTCCCTTAAGCCCAAATTAATAATCTAAAAACAGTTGTACATTGTTAATGTTGGAAATCTTTATTACAAGTCACGTGCTTAAACCAAACAAATATGTTCCTCCGGTTAATACGAAATCCATGTGATCGCTTCTACAGTACAGTAGTTGCATATCTTTACAACAGTGGGCAGAGTTTGATTGATGATTGATGTTAATTGGTGAGGCTCTGCTGCTGTCCACTTAGTGGCCCGAGTCTGCTGCACGGGAGCAGGAAAGTGTTATCGCTGAGCACGCGCATCGATCGGTCGATCTTTACGATTGGTTATAAATCTAAAGAGTAACAATACAATCGTCAGGTGGGCTTAACTTATAATTCATGCCTATTTTAGTGATCTTTGGCATAGAGATCCGTGGAAAATGGATATTTTTTTTCGTGATTTTTAATTATCCGCAGCTGTCCTTCCCATCAAGCACGGATAATGGAAAATCTACTGCAGTTTAGTTCTTAGTTTAGATCTTTTCTAAAATGAATTTATGTAGCTCCTTATCTAAGGTGCTTTACAAAGAATTTACAATGTTACAACATATGAACGTAATGGTGGAGATAAGGCGAATGAAATAGATTAGAGGAAGCAATGGGGGAAAATCTGTGATGCGTGAATTGGGTGAAAGCAAAATCGATGACAGTAAATGATGATGGATTGAATGATGAATGAATGGGGAATGAGTGATAGCCATATATATACAGTAAAACCTCGTTATTTCAGTATTTGATCATTCGTAATTGGGGATAATTTGGCATGGCTCCGCTTTCGGGATATATAGAGAATTAGTCATTCGCCGTGAGCCGAATTTCCATACCGAATGGTCCAATTTCGACATAAACGCGGAGTGATGCCGCACGCCACAACCAAAACAATGACACGGTCTGGTGGCGGGGCACGTGGTGAGCGTCAGTGTAGACCTGTTGCTTGGATTTTACCTTGTTTGTGCACTCTGTCCAAGCCAACCCTCTCATAATTGCAGTCTACACCTACATCAAGAAGTAATAGAAAGGGAGTGAAGTATAAATCCCTTAGTCTGCGAGACAAAGCCAAAGATTTGGTAGAATTGATGCAGGTGTGCCAATGCGTATGGTGTGTGATGAGTTTGACGTAAAATCGAGCACCTTTAACGACATCAAGAAAGGCCGGGAGAAGATTAGGAAGCGTGCCTTAACCTTGGAGGTTAAGTGCATACTAAGTGCAGTAAGCCCCACTCCACAACCTCTGTCACCTACCACATGGAACTTACCACATCCTCCTTCACTTGTAGTGCTGGTTACTTATGGTAAGTGTTACTTTTTTGGAAAACTATTTTTGGAAAACAAATAAAAAAAACATTTGGGAGGGGAGGAACTGGGGAGTACAATTGTACATAATTCGGAATATTGGATAAGGCCAGAGCCCCATACATGTAACATTTACAAGGGTTTACTGTAATATATATTTGCCCACGACGTGACAACGTGATTTGACTGGCCTTGTAGCCGGGTAGTGGAGGGTTATAGTTACAAATCGGCATGACGCCCATACGATGACGATCTAATCCAACGGGAGAAACTCAGTCATAAATCAGGTTTCAGAACCTATTTCCGTGACCGGCCATTTTCTCAAACCTGGCGCCGTGCAAAACGTAAAAATCGTCGCAAACAAAATAAAAAAACGGGGTTAATTGGTGGGCTCTGTTCCCGCGGGAAATGGCCAATGGGAAGGCGGGGTTCTGGGTACCTAGGGGAGGTGCTGTGGGGGAAAAAGATGTGAGGGAGGCGGGGCTAAGGGGAGGGCATGATCCTCGTGTATGTGGAGAGAACGCGGACCATCTCACTCCCACTCAACCCGCACCTCCCCCCCCCCCGCCCTTCTTCTCCCCAGCCAACCTGCTCACCACGCTTACCCTCGCCCGGCGCTCCTGCGGCCTGTCCAAGGTGACGCGCACGTACCTCGTGGCCCTGTCGGTGGCCGACAGCCTGACTCTCGCCTGGTTGGGTGTGGTGGACCTCACGCTGCTGTGGCTGCAGCCCGAGCCCTTCTGGGGCGCCTACCCGTGGTGCGGCCTCGTCACGGTGCTCGAGTACGGCGCCATGTTCTCCTCCATCTGGATTATCGTGGCCTTCACCATCGAGCGCTTCCTCTCCGTGGCCCGGCCTGCGGGGTCGGGTCCCAGGCCCACGGCGGCGGCGAGTAGGGGCGGTGGCGGCGCCGGTGGCATCTGCGGTGGAGCCACGACTCGGAGCCGCTCGCGGGCGGCGCTCTACGTGACGCTGGCCGTGTTCGCCGCTTCCTACGCCTTCGCCGTGCCGGGGTTCTGGCTCAACGTCACCGAGGTCCAGAACGTCACGGCGGTGCGCGACGTCACGGCGGTGCGCGACGTCACGGCGGTGCGTGACGTCACGGCGGTGCGCGACGTCACGGCGGTGCGCGACGTCACGGCGGTGCGCGACGTCACGGCGGTGCGCGACGTCACGGCGGTGCGCGATGTCACGGCGGTGCGCGACGACAATGTCGCGGAGGCGGGGAACGACTTGACTTTTGTCGCCGCCTTCCGAGACGTTGCGGAGGTTCACAATGTGACGGAGGTCTGGAGTGACGTCACCGAGGTCCAGAACGTCACAGAGGTGAGAAAAGGTGGCGCCACGGAGGCCTGGAACGATGCACCGGAAATCCGGGGAAACCTCAACGTCGGGGAGGTCTGGAATGGCGTCGCGAAGGTCCGCAATGCCTCGGGGACGAGGAATATCGTGGAGGTTGGAAACAATGTCACAAAGGTCCAAAAGGGCATCGCGGAGGTCCAGAACATCACAGAGGTCTGGGGCAACATCACACAAGTGTGGAACGACGGAACGCCAGAGGTCGTAGCAAGAGGCAGGAAGAACATGTTGGAATCTTCTCTCCCGACACGGTCGACGTCATCATCCTTATCATCATGGCCACCACCGCCGCCGCCAGAAGCGAGGCAGTCTCAGCGCTGCCACCACAACGTGAGCCCCTATGCGGAGGCCATCGTGTGGGCCCACACGCTGGCCTCGGGCGCCGTGCCCTTTGCCTTGGTGCTGATCCTGAATGGCACAGTGGTGTGGCGTCTGCGCTCCCAGGCGTTCTCGGGGCCCCAGGGCCCCCTGCGGGCCAAGACGCGCCGCTCCGTGGCCATCCTCCTGGCCGTGTCGCTGGCCTTCGTGGGTCTCTCGCTGCCACGCTTCGTCACCTACTGCCTCCTCCGCACGATGGGGCCCGAGTGGGCGCGGGACCGCAACGACTTCACACGGCCGCTCAATGTGGCGGCCGACGTTGCCATCATGATGCACCTGGCCAACTCGGCTGTCAACTGCTTCCTGTACTGCCTGGCGAGCGCGGCCTTCCGCGCCGAGCTCGCGGCCTTGTTGGCCTGCAGGGGCTGCGCGAGGGGGAGCGGCAGGAATGCCGTGGGGGCGCGTGCGCTCCGCTGAGTGGTAGCGCGTGTGTGCGTGTGTTTGTGCGTGCATGTGTCCGTGCGTGTGTGTGTAATAGGGAGAGGGAGTGTAATGGTTAGTGTGCTGAGCTTACAGACCCGGCGACCCGAGTTCGATTCCCGCTCACAGCCATGAACACCGGTGATGATTATCTGAACCGGTACCTGGTGTGGTGTGTAAACATCGCCACTGGGGAGACAAAGGCAGTCGGGCGTGGTGCTGGACACCCACACCCCCTTGTGTACCGTTCCGGCCTTAATAGGTGTTACTCGCTAACAGCACTTGCCTCTACAGTCTGTTAAAGGCGATACGGGGAATCTGTGTCTTTGTACCTGCGCAGTGTCCTTATTACCAGCTCCGATTTGACAGCGGAGGTCTCCCTTCGAATCAGTTGGGTAGCATGTGTGGTAGCTACCCCACCTGACGCTCCACGCGAAGCTCCGCGTCTTCTCAGCCGCAGTAATGCCCTTCCTTCTCTATGCTTGCGAAATGTGGACCCCTCTAATTGGACATCTGTGACGGTTTAAGACATTCAGCCTGACCCTGCCTACGATCCATCCTGGGTTTAACCAGACTGGATTGTGTGAGGAGCTCACAGATCCTTGACAGACCTGGACACAGTCCTGTTAGTGAGCTGCTCCAGCAGGCGAGGCTCCCATCGGTTGGGTCATGTAGCCCGCATGCCCAGCCACCACATACCTAAGCAGCTTCTGTTTAACGGCAAGAGGAGTGACGTGGTACGGGAGGACGTGGAGCTGAGTGGACTTGCCGATGACTGCTACCAGCTGTGTCAAGATCGGCCTCTCTGGTGGAGGCTCGTGCATGATGCTACTGGGCAGTTGGAGGAAGTCGCCCTCCAGCCACGGCGATGGGCAGAGGAGCAACGCTCACAACAACGAGCGGAGCGCCCGGCGACTAAAACGTAGCAAGGTGACACAGTGGGGAGCATAGTTGGTGCATCTGGCAGTCATTTCAGTCAGTCATCTTATACCACCTGGATCTGTCTCATGTTCTGCCAGAGAACCTTCCACACTTAATGTGATCGCCTCGAAGTGCACCTAGCCTGGCACATGCGCTGTGGTGAAATCACCTTCACTCTGTCAATCCGTTTGTCCATCCATCCATAAATGCATCTGTACGTGGCTCTGTCCGTCTGTCAGTGTACGTGTCCGTTCATGCATTTGTTCGTGTTGTCCATCTGGTTGACTGAGGTCTTCATAGGCCTGTCTGTCTGTTTTTCAGTCTATCTGTCTGTGTGTCAATCTGTCCATGTATCTGTCATTTAAACCATACGTCTGTGTGTCGATCTGTCTGAACGAGTATCTGTCCATCTGTTAGTCCTGTCTGCATGTCTGTCTGTTTTTCAGTCTGTCTGTCTGTGTGTCAATCTGTCCATGTATCTGTCATTTAAAGCATACGTCTATGTGTCGATCTGTCTGAACGAGTATGTTGTATATGCCCCCCTTTCCATCTTAATATTAACAAGTAATTTTTCAATACATATAGATACATATTTCTATTGTTTCTTTTAATTTTAATAATGAATAAAAACACCAAACCAGGCCTCAGCATGGCATGTGGAGGTCATATTTACCTTGACCCACTAACACGATTTTGACATTCAGAGCCCTCCCAGGGTCAGAGGGAGCAGATAGAGAGCAGAGCACAGCGAATTGCCAGGGGCTGACGTAAACACACCAAGCCAGGGTCACTGGGAGTTTGCGTTAGCCTAGATATAGTTCAGTCAAAAAGCTGATTGGTTCTACATTACTATTAAAGTAACTTAAAATCGGAATTCAACGACAGGGTAGGCTAAAGTTATTGATCTTCACACCAACTTCAATTGAACCCTGCCACAAGCTACGTCAATGTAACCATCACCCGTCTATTAATTTAATATGAAATGTATTTACATATTTGAATAATTTCTATACGACTTGACCCGAAGCCTAACAATCAGGTTTTCCTAAGTCAACATGAATGCTCTAATCCACCCATACGCAAATAATAAGCCGGGTTAAAGTAAGAGTAGAGAGGAAAAGAAATGCAAGCGAACAGCAAAACTGCAACGTAAGCAAAGGGCGATGTTAAACCCAGGGTCGGAGAGAAAGGGAAATCCCGGCCGTCTTTGTATCCCTGCAGCGCGGGGTAGGAGTGTGTATACGCTTGGGGAAACACGAGTCAAACACCACAACGAGAAGCTGACTCAGACCTTGGATTAATACAGAATCATAACTATGGAACTCTGATGAAATGAAATGTTAACTTAAAACTTTTTAACCATTTCTTTGTGTGTCGGTGAAAGTCGGAGGGAATATCGCCCCTCCCTCCAGGTTGTGCACCCAGACAGAGAGGCGCCTTCGAGACAATTTATAACATTTGATTGTTTTACTTGTGGGTTTTATGGTAGGAGTATGACAACGGAATATACCGTGGGTGATGCACAAGGACACACACTGACACACGTACGGACACACACACCGACACAGATACATACGGACAAATCCTGACACAGCAAAAATCGAAAGAAACCCCGCCTTGTGGGCAGGATCCGAGTGAAGGGATTTTTGGGCATAAAAAGAGGGTCCTGAGCATTGAAACTCGGAAGAGTTCGACTGGGGGGGGGGGGTCGGCTCACCAGAGTTCGACCGGGGGGTCGACTCTCGGGAGACAGTTCGACAGGAGTGGGTCGGCTCACCAGAGTTCGACCGGGGAGGGGGGGTCGGCTCACCAGAGTTCGACCAGTGGGTCGACTCTCGGGAGACAGTTTGACTCGGAGGGGTCGGAACTCGGGGAGTTCGACCAGGGGGTCGGAACTCGGGGAGTTCGACTCGGAGGAGGTCGGAACGCGGGGAGTTCGACCAGTGGGTCGGCTCAGGAGCCGTTCCAATCGGGAACGAGAGCAACAGGTCGCCAGCCGGCGAGCTGCAGAGCAGGGGGCGGCGAGCAGAAGCCAAAGTGGCCCCGTCGCTACCCACTGACGTTGGCAAGACTCGCAGGGTAGTGAGGCGTCACCTAATGTGATTTCCAAGAGCTGAAAGACAGAGTATTGCTGAAAGATTATTCTACATTGAGTCCAGCTGCAGAGCGACCGACGCACCAAGCAAGAGCTTCTGCAAACCAGAGCAAGAGCATCCAGCAGTGGAGAAAAACCTGCTTTCAGCAAACCAGCAACGAGCACGTTCGAGTTCTCCACCCAGAGAGAGGGAGCGTGCCGATGCAGCTCATCCAACAGCGGAGAGAAACTGCTGTCAGCGAACCAGCACGAGCGTGATCGCGCAGCTCATCCAGCAGTGGAGAGAGGTGTCCACTGAGCAGAACTGAGAGCGATCAAGCAACTCTCCCCCGTGGACAGAGGCTGGCTGCTGCGTGGAGGAGGGCGGCGATTCGTATGATGCACTCCCACACACCTCACCGCTCTAAAGGGAGCGAGGCTACTTCTCCTACAAGCGATGCCAACTTCAGCGTATGGCAACGCAAAGAATTAATTCCAAACACTGACTATTCAAAACAATTCATATCACTCAAACATACACGGGTCCTTAACCAGAGGCGAACACTCAAGTCCGTGAACCATCTGGCTGTGGAAGCATCGATCGTGTGATAACAGTCTGACATTTATAAGTATATTCATAATTTTCCTCTTTAATATTTTGTTTTGGACTGTACTTCTAATCGCATAAGTTACCAACCGATCCATCAATACGAATTAACCCTTGGCACCTTCGCCACGGAGCTACGCTCCCGGGGAGGAATCGTGCTAAACCGATTTTCTGATCATAAATCTTATTCACGAATTAATTAATTAATCTCCCGTGAGATAACACGTTCCGCCGCATACCCTCACACTAAGCCATTTCGGTAATCTTATATTCTGTCCGGTGGATCTGTTGTTACATTTATGCCTTTGGAAATAATAACTGTTTGATTGTCTTTTTATATGAATACCGTTGGATGTTAATCAATCGCCTGTGATAATGTGCTGACCATTTCAAGCATAATGATCGTTCATATTATAATGTATAAGCTTTTGTGTAGCATAGCGTTGGCATGTGCTGACTCTCTCTCTCACTAACAACCATCGCTTTATGCGGGGTCCATGTGTTATCAAAGTGAAATCGTACAGTCGTTGATGATACTGTCTTGATACCGTGTGGATACCGTGTTGAAGTTCCGAGATTGAGAGTTCACATACATAATATAGTTAAGGTTTAATTAGAAATAAATTGATTAATACAGAAGTGGTCGTGTGATTCTTTCCTGAAATTTTTGCATAAGATCTGTATCCTGCGACGAGATATGAACTCGGGAACCTAAACTATAAACACACCAATCCACACTCATTAAACTTTAAAGCGAATGATATGAACTTGGGACCTAAAATATGAACACTCGGGGAGTGTTAAAGCGAGAATAATTGTATTATGCTGATCAATAATACGAAGTTAGACAACGAGGCCGAATTGACACTAGCGTAACTGCACACGATTGATTGCGTTATCCTGATTGATAACCCCTCCTCGTCAACGAGGCGGGGCTTGATTATCATAAAGGCTATCATTAACACAACCACACCCACTCGTATAAATTTATACGATTACCTCTCTAATTAGCATAGTTACATGCATAATTACATGAATTAGCATAATTTCGGATTAATTATGCAAATTTCGAATTTCATTTTATTTTAATTATTTTTCATCAATTTTCACACACCCACATATACAACAAGTATCTGTCCATCTGTTAGTCCTGTCTGCATGTCTGTCTGTCCACTGCTTTATCCGATCTGTCTATCATAATGCTCATTTGGTTGTCTTATAAGGGTAGATCTTAAAATTAGTGTTTTGTCATTAAATATCTTCTTTTCTCATAAATAGATGTCTTTGTTAGTTGCAGTGTGAACGTGTTCACCAGAGGGCACTATATTTGTTGTCTAGAGAAAGACACTCGGTACACGAGCGGGGAGACACAGGGAGCAGGAGAGAGACACAGGGAGCAGGAGAGAGACACAGGGAGTAGGAGTGAGACACGTGGTATAGGAGTGAGACACGTGGTGTAGGAGTGAGACACGTGGAGTAGGAGTGAGACACGTGGAGTAGGAGTTAGACAGGTG